ATTAATCCACCACTGAAGAAGTGAAGAGAAAAGGCCAAAGACTCAAAGGCCAGATCTTGGGAAGTCACCTTCCTGAAAAGCCCACTTTCCTGGGGTGTGATAGAGGCATCCTATAGCAAAGCAGTCTCCTATTTTGGGGTGACACTGGGTTTATTGTTAAACAAACAGAACCTAAAACTTAGAAAAACTATTTTATTTTAAGCTAAAAACAGCCTATAAAACTTAGGTACAGGGGGAGGGTAACAGCTCAGTGGTAGAGCACATGCTTAGCATGCACAAGGTCCTGGGTTCAATCCCCAGTACCTCCTCTAAAAATAAAGGAAGAAATAAACCTAATTACTTCCCCTCCAAAACAAACAAACCAAAAACAAGCAAACAAACAAAAAACCTAAATTTTCAGGACTGAAGAAAAGAAAAATGCTAACCAATATATTTCTGATCCTTGACTCTGAAAACAAGTTTGTCCAGCATCTTTTATCTCTTTCCTCAGTAAAACAGATTTTAAAAGATAACTGTGTTCTCCATTAGAAGGTGAGGAAGAGTATGAGCCATGCTATAAATGAGTGGCTCTCAACTAGGGGTGACTTCCCTCCTGAGGGGACATTTCTGGATGTCACCACTAGGGGAAGAGGTATGACTGGCATCTTAGGATGCGCGAAACATTCTGTAACGAACAGAACAGACTCTACATTAATGAATTATCCAGTCTAAAATGTCAACAGTGCCAAGGTTGAGAAATCCTGCTACAAACCTCTCTATAATTCTAAATTTATTCTTGAGCAGCTCAAAGCCTACCTACCTTTGTGCTAAATAAAACTTAAAAATATTGGCAAGTGAAATCAATTAGAAAGCCAAAGGTACATACAAGGGAAATAAATATTCAGGTGTCAAATCCAGATCGTCGTCATAACCAAATCGTCGAAGCACAGTCCAAGTAGTTTCATGTCTCCCTCTCTGGATAAAAAGTGTATGTAAAAAAAGGAAACCTGGAATAAAGTAGTAAACACAGTGGATGAGAAAAGGGTACAGAATCACGTGGGAGAAGAGCATGAAACATATTAACGGCAAGAGCCAGACTCATGAACACGTGTGAACTTGCTTTGCATAATGAAGGTCATATCAAAACAGAGTTCACAAATGTCTTCGTGAAACAGAGCTGATTTCAGAATCATTTCACATACACACCCGGGTCAGTAAGAGACAGAACTGGATGAGAGGGCCAAAACATATCCCAAGGAATACACTGACATTCACAAAGTTACATGATAAAAACAAACGCAGTCACTGTGCACATCTCTGCACTTACTGATACAATGGAAAATTCTGGTTACCAGCTGCAGTTCTTACCTCACTGTGGCTCGATAACATATTTTACAGGGAACATTCTGTATTGGGTAAATTTGACTGGTAGACAAAATGTATTTCTTCCCTAAAAATAATTTCTATTTAAAGGATGCTTATGAGTAAGAAGAATTTTAAGATACATTTGTTTCAGAAATCTCTTACCCACAGATGGATCTCTGCATTCCTGAGATCCAACCCATCTCCCTACCTCTAATTTATACTGATAGTAAGATTAAGATCATCATCCCCATTAATAGCCTGTCTCTTCCAACTCAAATATTCAGGTTAAATTTTAGGTATATTAACTAATATAAATATTTCCCCCAAAATAGAAAATACTCTAAAGACTTTCACCTTCTGCCAAATTTTGGAAATATTAAGTTCAAAGGGGGGGGGGGAACACCACTAGCCCACCTTTCAGTGTCAATCCACTATCGGCTACACCATCACTTATATGTTTTCTGACCACATTCTTGACATCTTCCAGAGCTTGAGGAGCTAATGGAGTGTTGAAACAAATTCTCTAGCAAAAAAAAATTTTTTTAAGTTAAAAACAAATCAGCTTTAAAACCACAAATAATGCAAATATTAATCCACAAAGCAATATTAAATCAAAGAGTTGCAACGACAAGAAACGATTCCTAAACTAGGATAGTCTTTGTTTTGTATTAAGTAAAACATGTCATACTTAGAAGGACATGTTTTCCCTACTCTCCCCACCATGTTTCTAAAACACAGAGCTCTTTGTGTAGTTCTGTTATATAAAACTGAGAAAGAGAAATAATGCAGAGCTCAGACTTCAAGTCATCCTTAATACACCCACTGTACACCATGAAATTATACTCTCAGAGTCCCCTCAATTACTAAGCGTAAGAGAGTTTTATCCCCTAGGTAAAGATTAAATTGCCTGATGTGAAATCGAGTTTTTACATGACAGAGATGCACGTTTATCAACATATCACTGTTTAATCAAATAAATTTTTTACAGCCTTTTTCAGAAAAAGAAAAAAGAGGCCAAGATACACACATGCCTGAAATAAAAGAAGGCTACCTGAAAAAAGTTGAGTTCAGCATCATTGAGAGTGCCATCATTATCCTGATCAGATATTTTGAATATCCGAGTAAGGGCTTTTATACAGGCTGGTTTCATCTGTAAATCATTGAGAAAAGAAACAATTGTTTTCAATGTAAATAGTTGAGATTTTTAAATATGATTTTCATAAACAGGCTGAGAAGAATTCTGAATGTTTTCACTGTCAAACACATAACATCAAACACAACCAACATGATAAATGAACTAAAGCAAAGCCATTTCCTTTTATTTATACTCAAACCATTCTAAGCAAATGAGGCAATGTTTACTTAGACTGATACCTGAAATGGCTAAACTCTCCCTTCACTACCATATCCTCTCAATATGAATAAAAGAGAAGTTCATCTTTAGGGAAGATTCATTCTTCCAGTCACATAAAGAAGAAATGTTTATTTATTTATGCCCTCTCTCATTCCCTAAAGAATCTGAGCTATGGTGAGGGCTTTCCAACTCAACTGCTCTAAATGTTTTGATCTGTCACTTGTGTGTACGTGTGTGTACATCAAAGCCTCCAGGATATAAAATGTACTTATTCACAAGCAGGTAACGAAACAATACTGGTTGATAAGGGTAAAGGCTTTTAGTAACTTCCCATACATTTAAAAAAGAATTTTGCCTTTTGTGACTCTGTAAAACTTTAATAAGTAAGGCTGCTGGAAAAGTATCTTGACAACTTCCTTATTTTTTGTTTTAGGATTTATAATGGATAGAAAAAATATTTGACTATTTAAAAATAAGGCCCACAAGCTTCCTCAACAATTTTGAGAAAATAAAACTTTTCAGGAAGATCTCTGAACATTGTATAAACCTGGAGGTAGACCTCTCACGGACATCTGAATCAGAGAAATGAGATGGCAAGGTGAGGAAATGTGTACTTGTCATTTCATTTACTGACTTCATTGAGATAGGCTATCCAGAGCAAACAGCAGTGATGAGTTGTTTTTTTCCAACTGATTTTTTTCCGGGTCAGGGGGGATAATCAAGTTTATTTATTTATTTTTAATGGAGGTGCTGGGGATTGAACCCAGGACCTCACGCATGCTATGCACACTCTACAACTCAGATATGCCCTCCTCACCGTGATGATGAGTTTTGATCATGCTATCACATCAAACTCAAAGGCATAAAAGAAATGCTGTTAAAAATAGCAAAGGAACAAAATATACACAATCCTTTCTTTTTTTGTTTTCAGTGGGGGCTCTAGGAGAGCAATTTGATATAGCAAAAAAAGGAAAACCCAAGATATAAACAGATTAGAAAGAAAACAGAAAAAGAAGTCAAACATTTAGGGGGCACTGGATAGGGCTTTCTTTATAAAAGAGTACTAAATGGACTATAACCTATCACATCTACAACCTTGGATAATTTTTTTAAAACAAGTTAGAATAAGATATTGCATCTATAAATATGATCTTAATATTAAATACTCAAGATTAATAAAGACCACATTGTAGTTACTCTTCTTTTAAAAATCTGTTACATAATAATCTAAATGTTTTGAAAAGTAGCAATAGCTAGAATGATGCAAAAAACAGACTCTGAAAATAACTTACTTACAAGTGGTTTTTCCTCACATCATAAAATGCTACATTAAAAAAAGCAATCTGAAGAAAAATAAAGTGATGCATTTTTCATTAAAGCTTGAAATGCATCAGAACCAAAAGTGCTCTGAGGTACTGGCTCAATATGATATTTAAATATTAACCACCTTAAAATATACTACCAAAATATGACTACTTTTTAAAAGTATTAAAAACTATACTTCAATAAAGCTATAAACCATGTTTAAAGTAATAAAATAAATTCATTTTGCATATGAGTAATCTAGACTCTCACACAAATCTCATGGTTACCAGGGGGTTATGGGGTTGGAAAGGGATAAAAATGGGAGTTCAAGATCTGCAAATACTAACTACTATATATAAAATAGGTAAATAACAAGTTTATATTGTACAGCACAGGCAACTATATTCAGTATCCTGTAGTAACCTATAATGAAAAAGAATATGAAAAGGAAGATATATGTATATGTATACATATGTATATATGTGTATGATTATGCTGTACACCAGAAACTGACACAACATTGTAAGCTGACTACACTTGAACATTAAAAAAAAAAAAACCCTCTCACAGATCTTCTCATTATTAGGTAATCAGAGGACTCCATGGGTCATACAGAGTCCTTCATCACTGGAAACAAATGTCCAGTTTAGGCTTTAATTCTGAATATGACCTTTTTGATGATTCCACTTCAAACCTGTGTTAAAAGTTTATTAATGTTGTCTAAAAAAAAAAGATTCTGATACAAGCTCAGACTCAAGGCTTGTACTTGTATAAAACAAGGCACATACAGTCTCTAAAAGCTGCAGATTTCACCTCAGGCGGGTCCACCTAAGAAACGAACAGATGGTAGTAGCTGTTTTACTCTTGTGGGGAAAGGAGGAGGGTGATTAGTGGATTAGCAGAACTAATAATAGGCCTGAGAAAAAAGTAGCAATTAAAGAACTGAGAACAAAGTACTGGAGGGGATTTAATGCACTGCTGGGCTAAGCTCAAGGTGAATCTCTACAGTATAAGACTATTTCCCAAATTTTCTCGATCATAAGATACAGCACCCGGCTGAATCAGAATGGAATCTGTATTTTTAACAAGAACACCTATTCTTGACTATTATGACATTATGAGGTGAATTTGGGAAATACTGAGATTAAGAGCAAGTTAGAAAGAAACACTCCAATTAAGGGACAATAAACCAGGATTAAGGCAAAGTAAATCAGGGTCAGATTAAAGGATAAATCAGATTAATATTTATACCAGGGGTCAGCACTTTTTCAGTAAAGGGCCACACGGCAAATATTTTAGGCTTTGGGGGCCAATAGGCAAAATCAAGGATATCACGTAGGCACTTACACAGCACGAGACAATCAAATTTCCATAAAGCTTTTATTGACAAGTTAAAAATATAATAATAACTGAGTATAAATTTGCTATACAGGTCTAATAATGAGAAGAAAGGAATAAGAGGGATAACATTTGGCTTAAATGGGATTCAAAGTTAGTGTTTCCTATCTTGCAATAACCTATAATGGAATATAATATGAAAAAAAAACCCAAATCACTATGCTCTACACCTGAAACTAACACAATACTGTAAATCAACTATTCTTCAATTTAAAAAAAAGTTAGTGTTCTCTATCATGAAAATCAGTTACAAGTGTTCAGCTGTTAATGCTGATCTGTAATGAGATTTTACATATTTCATCTTTGAAAATGTACTTCTGCACAGATACACACTGCCAACAGTGCTGCACATCTATAAACATACAACTTTCATTGAGAACATTCATCACTTGGAAGGCATTTATAGAATTACATTAGATTCTTTTCTTGATATTTGCCTCTTAGCCTGTCATTAGACTGCATATTAGGTGGAAGTTCCTCAACTGCTCAGTCAAATAGATTAGGAAACACAGAAACCTCCTCTGCACATTGCATCAAGGTCTATCTAAAAAAAAACTGATGCCGGAACTGTGGCTCAGAAAATATATCTGCTTTGCCATCTGAAAATCCACTTCTTTTTCTTGTTTTGGCATGATAGGCATGTACTGATTAAAAAAAAAATGTCGCAGTACAGTGGTACCTGAAATGCTGCCAAGCTCAAACTGTGTCAGTGCAATTAGCAGGGCACTGAGCAGCAGTGATAAGTGGTGAAAGTTATCACACACGAGCTGTCGCAACATTCAGGTCTGCCTCTGGAGCACAAAAGCAGCACAGACGTGAAGGAATGAGCGTGGCTGTGTTGCATACATAAAACTTATTTAGGAATGATGAAATCTGAATGTCACAAATTTTATTCCTTTTGGTTTTTTTCCCCAATCATAAAAAAATGTAAAGTGTATCTTAGTTCACACGCTATATAAAAGCTGGTGGCAGGTCAAATCTGGTCTGTGAGTCAGCCCTCCAACCACTCACATATACTATAAACTTCTGAAAAAAATCTTTTCAGGAAACTTTTTCCCCCCAAACTTTTACTTCTTAAAAACTCAACAACAGCAAAAGAAACATAACTCCATCAAGAAATGGGAAAAAGACTTAAAATAGACATTTCTCCAAAGAAGACATACAAATGGCCAATAAGCACATGAAAAGATGTTCAATATCATTAGCCATCACAGAAATGCAATTCAAACAAGATACCACTCACAACTACCCGAATGGCTATAAACAAACCGACAATAAAAACGTTGGGGTATGGATAACAAGTGTGGGCAAAGATGTGGAGAAATAGTTTAGTGGTTCTTCAGTAAGTTAAACAAAGAACCACCATGTGACCTAGCAATTCCACTGATAAATAAACACACAAAAGAACTGAAAACAGGTGTTTAAACTTAAGTGCAAATGTTCTTAGCAGCTCCATTAACAGCAGCCAAAAACAGGAAGTAACCCAAATAACCATCAACAGATGAATGGGTAAATAAAATGTGGTATAGCTATTCAATGAAGCATTATTTCACCATAAAAAGGAATGAAATACTAATATATGCTATACCATGGATTTACCTTGAACACATTACACTAAGTGACAGAAGTCAGACACAAAAGACCACATCTTATATGATCCATTTATATGAAAAGTTCAGAATAGACAAATCCACAGAAGAGAAAGTAGATTAGTGGTTGCCAAAAGCTGAGGGAAGAGGGGAAAGGGAGTGACTGCTGATGGGTACAGGGTTTCTTTTGGGGTGTTGAAATGCTCACAAATCAGATAGTGGTGATGGATGGACAACACTCTGAATATACTAAAAACCACTGAATTGCACATGTCAAAAGGATGAATTTTATGGGGAATTATAGCTCGATTAAAAAAATGTTTAAGTCAATGGCAAAATATTCTTAAATTTTAGATATTTCATTAAGGAATCACTGTGTTTCTAAGCTATGAAATAAAAGGGAGTATTCAAGTTGTATTACATGTTGTACTCAAGTCAAATAACTACACAAGCTTTTCACTTCTGTGTGTTTTTAAGTTCATGGATTTTATAATAGTAAAGCAAGTAGACCATTAGTTAAGTCCCTGGACTTCCAATAAATTAAAATTTCAGCATTTTAGATGAATACTTAAGAGTTACTAAAAATCAAGAGGGAGAAAATATAGCTCAAGTGGTAGAGCACATGCTTAGCAAGCATGAGGTCCTGGGTTCAACCCCCAGTACTTCCTCTAAAAATAAATTAATAAATAAACCTAATTATCTCCCCCAACAAATAAATAAATTAATTAAAAGATTAAGAAAAAAAAGAATTACTAAAAATCGAGGGAGAGGTATATAGCTCAAGTGGTAGAGTGTATGCTTAGCAAGCATGAGGTCCCAGGTTCAATCCCCAGTACCTCCTCTAAAAATAATAAAGAAATAAATAAACCTAATTACCTCCCCCCACCAAAAAAAAAATCTTAAAATAATAATAATTAAAAAAAAGAATTACTAATATCACTATCAGAATAGTTACTACCTACACATTCCTCCTCCACTTCCTCCTCCACCACCTCCTCCTCCTCCACCTCCTCCTCCACCACATCCTCCT